AGTTTGCCAAACTAGGGGATATGAATCTAAATACTGAATCAATCAAGAAATTGAATCTCTCATCAGCCTTAAGTATAAGAAGAGCATACCTAAAACGGTACATATACCGTTTTAGTGGCATCACTTTGCATTTGAAAAGAGCGGGAACATACACTGCATAAATGTGGTTGCAAAACGTTGAGACGGAATATAAATACCTACGCCTTATTTTATAAGCCTGAACTTGGATCCAGGGGGGAGATTAAGTCATATCCCTCAAGTCATAGACCCGCTTTTCACCACCCTGGTCCACGCTCCCTCCCCCCCCCCGGTCAACACCTTTTCCACTGCTGGTTTTTTCCTCCCCCCCCCCGCTCAGCACCTTTCGTCGCCGCCCCACCGGCGTCCGGGGTTCAGCCCCCCCAACCTATTTTGCGATCCTACACCCCTGGGCCGGTTAATCATAAGGATCCTATTTATGACAAAAAAGTTTCTGTGACCATTAACCCGCGCCCTGCTGGGGGGGGGGGTGTTTGAACACCCCCCTTGTGGTTTTTCGCGAATATCTCAAAAACGGCGGCGCGGAGCGCCGCCGTTTTTGGTACACCTTATCATACATCAATTCTACACATGTTGTGAAAATTTCAGACCAAGGTCATTCAAGGTCAGGTCACCAGGTCACTTGAAGTGACCTCACCTCATAAAAAGTTTCAATGTCTGTCATAGCTACACCGAGTGACCGATCGCTTTGAAACTTTCAGCGATTGCTAAGAGCAATAGCATGTACAAAATGTATATCTCAGAATTTTGATATCGATGACCTAAGGTCAGGTCAATTTTGCGACCTCCCCATTATAAGTCAATGGGAGAAAATTGAAATGCGCCTCTTTTGGACAAAAGACATTATAAACACTCCCAAACACCGAATTACAAGTGGTTTAGACACACTGAACATGAAAATGGTGTCCGTGACCCTTGTTTATGCCCTGAGGTCATCTTAGGTCACGAATGGTATCTAACAGTTTTTCGCAAATAACTTTTGATAGAGGCATGCTAGAGCGATGAAAACGCCTTAGATGTGTTCAGCTCGACGATACGGATCGACTGATATGCAACATGACCCTTTCCGGTCAGGTCATGACCTTGACCTGAGGTCAAATTTTCAAGTTGACCTTTCAAGGTCAACTTATAGTTCATTCGATGCGTCTTGACGAGAGGAACACGATACCGGTAAAAGTAAGCTCGTACAAGGCTTGGGGCAAAAGTTATTGCAGAAAAACTGTTTCCGAAAAAATCCGCTATTTTTGCAGTTTTTGCCCCCTGCAGGCAAAACCGTTGACGTTAGGTCAAATCTGAGAGAATTACTCAGAAAGGGCTTTAATAGGGCTATCGAATGCGCTTTTCCGCAGCGCTGTAGCTCTATTGGTTCTCGAGTTATGCGTTGGCTTCTTGGAAATTTTCGACATTCGACCTGGAAATCGGCGAAATTTTGCCTTCAATGACCTCTGGTGACCTGACCTTTGACCTGACCAAAAAATTGACCGAAGTGATTTCGTCATTATTTTTGACGCTCTTTCGAACGCCGCCTTCCGCGTATCGCTACGTGGCCCAGGAGCCGAGTTACAAGGGGGGGTGTTCAAACACCCCCCCCCCCCCCCCAGCAGGGCGTGGAAATCCAGGACCCCCAGCCGGGCGCGGGTTAATCAATCAATCAATCAACTTCAACGTGAACTGAGTTGAATGATTAATGACTAATGAGTCGGTCCGACCGTGAGGCAAGGAATGTTTGTAAAAACACTCCGTGAGAACAGTGGCGGATCTAGGATTTGAGTTTAGGGGGGGGGGGGGGCAAACATTGCGCCGCCAGGCAAGTCGGCGAGAATTTCAAACGTCCTGTCTTAGGAACAAAAAAAAAAAACGAGCTACCCCTATTTTTCTCCTCGGATTTCAGGATTTTTTTTTTGATTTTTTACATTTTTGTCAGTCCGGCCAAGCCAGGGTAGCGCAAAAAAAAAAATTGCAGCCACCCTGACTCCGGGAGATAGTTAGAGAATAGCTCACCGGCGCTATGGACGGTCCGTCCTCTACCTCCCGCATCACCTCGGCAAGACCTCGTCCGAAAGGTCCGCCCGCGCCGGTTCTCAAGGGCTTCTGTATCCGGAGACCGATAAGGGTCGCAGCAGCAGGTTCATGTGCAAATGCCCACGACCAAAGGCCACATCAGCGTACCTGCGATACTATACGCATTCAGGGTTGCCACGAACATTCCTTAACTTTGGGACTAAACTTCGCGAGCTAGCAAAATTATACAATAAGTGTTACTTTCGAGAGGAGATAAACGATGCTTCTACAGACATATAGGACCACAGCGCAACAGCCAACGGAATCACACTGAACAGCGTTAAGTTCCCACAACATACTGAGCTTCTCCAAGGCACCTCGCAAACCAAAAGCTCTGACTGAGCCTTTCTGTGTTTGTCCCCGTTAGATAACGGTATGGCTCATGAAAAAGCCGCGATTGGTAATCTTCTTTACGTTATTCCTCTCAGAAACCTATCTCGCACTTGTTCTCAAAGGCACGCAGTACACCGTTCTTTCTGGCCATCACTGAGTGACACAGCGGCAGTAGCTCAACCATATCGTTCACTCAACCAGTTCTATCTCGCCTGCCATGATACAGCTACCACCAGCGCAGCTTTACTTCACATTTCACAGCGTCTGACTGCCACATTGTTTACCCATCACTAATCCCCACCGAACTCATCACTAATCCTCACCGACACCCTCTCCGGGTCAGATAAGTAGCCGGACTTATGAAGTGTCCACTGTCCACACCTCTCACTCACCTTCAGCGAGGACGCCTTGCACCATCCAGGAATTGCCTGACGACCTCAGACGTGGCTGGTAGCTCGGTGCGGTGTGCTTGTAGCAGAATCAGCGACTCCAGACGTTCCTCGGTCATGGTCGCGCGTATGGCCGACAGGGTGAGGTTCACTTTCGAGAAAGTGCGTTCCGACTCAGCAGTCGACACTGGTAGCGTCGCCAGGATCCTCAGCATTGCTGATACCGCTGGGAACACTGTCTTGTCACAGGCAGCGAGTGCTCTGATGGCTGTCACTGGCCGCTCACTTGGCGGAGTTCGGGACCACCGTGCCTTCCAGATGGTGAACTCTGCATCGGTCTGTCTTCCCGACGACTTGACGAGTCCCTGGTACTTTTCCCATGCAGGCTTGACCTCTTCCCACTCGATGGACACCACGCGATTCGGAACCAAGCGGCTGAGAGCGAAGCTGAGACGCTGGTGACGCCCGAAACGAGCGTCGAGATCCGATGTGACGTTATCGATCGCGGGAGCGATAACGTTAGCCCGGTAGTAAGCCTCCGTGTCGCTGACACCCTCCTCGGGGTCCGGCTGCGCTGTGGCGCGGATGGTGTTGCGTCCCCGAGCGATTCGCCTCTGGACATAACTAATGTAGCCACAGTGGAAATGCTAGGTACTAATGGATATTTAGACCCACCAATATTTTTTTTCAGCTCCTATACCCATGCTATCTAGCAATAAAATATTATGCAAACACTTCTTATATACCCATGCAAACCCACCACTGTCCAACCGCTCACCAGTGTGGTGACCCCTGACCCCACTGGCGTCTGGCGGTCTGCTGTTGACGGTTTGTTTACTTGGTTCAAGGTTTCAATAAATCGCGTTATTTATTTTTTTTTTGGTAGCAGTAGCAGTAGTAGCACTGCTGATGGATGATGGACTGACATTCATGGGGCGGAGGACTTTTTATCAGCTCACAACTTAATACCAGTATAACGCCTTTTGTGGCGACTAACGGAGCGAGCGAGAGGGTGGGCCTTGCACGTGCGAAATTGCGAGGGGGTACCTCCAACTGACTTGTGCACGGCACCTTACTAACCGGTCTCTAGCGATGTGCCAAATTTGAGCACAATCGGCCCAGCCGTTCTCGAGATCTGGAAGCGGCACTCTGCACGTGCGCACGTGCAAAATGGGTCCCAACTGACTTGTGCATGGCACCCTACTAACTGCTCCGTAACCGTGTACCAAATTTGAGCGCAATCGGTCCAGCCGTTCTCGAGATCTGGAAACGACCCCTGCACGTGCGCACGTGCAGCAGCACCCCAACTGTGGCACATGGATATGCATTGCCTAGTGGGTGCCTACCTACATGCCAACTCTCAGCGCAATCGGCCCAGTAGTTACCGAGATATTGCAACAATTACAAAAGTGACACCTCTTCGTTTTGCACGTGGCACGTTCATAAGGGGTCACCCACATGCACCGGGAATAGTGCAATACCTGGTAGAAGGAATGAAGCTACCCTACAAAAATTACCGCATGTAAATCGGTCAAGTGGTTGCTGAGATATAAGCCTCGCAAAAGCGTGACCACGGCCGGCCGGCCGGCCGGCCGGCCGGCCGGCCGCTCATACTCAGAAATTTCCGTTAATCTAAGGAAAGACTACGCTCGCTTCGCTCGCTCCGTAATCACGAATATGACAACCTTCGTCCTCCATTTATTTCACATTTTCTTTTCAAACACCATATTTTTAGTATTCAAGTTGTAGTTTTTTAGGGGGGGGGCAAAAAGATATGTTTGCCCAGAGGTTTTCCGTTTAGGGGGGGCAATTGCCCATTTTGCCCCAACGTAGATCCGCCACTGCGTGAGAAAACACAGCAAAACACTACAACCCGGTTTACATAGCATTTTTGACGAGGCTCTAGCTCGTTAATTTGGCGATAATTTCGATGCAGTGGTCTTCAAATATTTAGAGGGGATCATTTTGTAAATTGTTAAGCACCATTGGCATCTTTTGCAACATCACGGACGGAGATATAAGCTTGCAACAAACCCTATGTAAACCGGTCTTACATTACAAAACGCTTATCGGGCGAAGGAAAACTGCTACAAATACGGAATACCTTCAATGGTGCGCCCAAATGTGTGCCCATATCGCCTAAGCGGTATTTACAAAAATGGCGCAGCAATTGTCACCACGAGTAACTCGCGTCTCGCTGAGAAAATCTCATTATAGTTCAGTGGAAAATCTTCTCCGTAATGATAAAATTTACTTGTCTTTATGTCTTATATTAATTACACCAAAGTTGTTAAAAAAATGGCAAAATTATTGCGGCAAACAGTTCTATTTTGATGGTTTTGCCCTCTGTTGCGAAACCGTTGACATGACAATGAGGCCAGTTACAGTAGTGGCAGAACACCTTCAATTAAGGGGGGGGGGGGCACTGCCGACTTTTGGTCCCATTCTTTCCGTGCAACGCCCATAGGGCTTATGTTAAAATGCCAAATTCAAAGGGTGGCACGGTGCCCTCCCCGTTCCGCCGCCCACCCGCCGCCTATGCATCAGGCATTGAGGTCAAATCTGATGACATGAAAGCGAAAGGGGTTTGGAAGTCCTGTCGAGTGAGTTGTTATCTAAATCTCTAAAGTGAATCTCTAGCTTTATATTTTTATGAGTTGTACCTATGCTAATTTATGAAAATTGTAAAAAAAAACATGAATTTATTAGTCATAATTTCATCGTTCGTCAGAATTTATTCACGTAATTCGGAAATTGTCCCTCATGTCGAAAATGGGCCCTCTAATACAGTGACTGGGCTTGAACTGGGCCCTCTTAGGTCTGAAATGGCCCCTTTCTCACCCCTCCCCCTGGCTGCACGACTGGTGCTAAACTTGAATTCAAATAGCAAAGTGAAGTCTCATGCTAATAGTTTATTCTGTTTATGTGACTGTTCTATGTAGATTGTGTGACACCTAGACTGTAGTCATGTTAGTTAGGTACATGGTGTAGATTTAGATGTGACATGGGTGTGATCTGATAACTATATGTTTCAGCATTATCACTTATCAGCTACACAGTACACAGTATTGAGTATAGAACGTACTGAACTGAAGACAGGCTGGAATCTGAATCATGGAAATGTACACTAAGACGGTAAGTAATGTTAATGTCACCATGAGGTGTTGGACCTTCTTCATATTACAGCCCATCACTCTTGTAATATAAGTTATCCTCTCAGTCATCCTTGGCAGTTGGTATTTGATACTGCTGACTCAGTTGACACTTAACAGTGACCATCAATTGACCTCAGCCATCAATGATTAATCACATTGCAGATTTGATGAGCAAAGGATCTACCACCAGGTCAGCATGATTTTAAGTAAACTAAAAAGGCAGACATGTGCATTGTGCAGGGATCTGAGTGATGGATCTTTGATATCAGTGGATCCCAAAGCAAACTGTTCAGTGTAAGTTGGGATCTGTGATCCCACTGGATCCCATATGAAAAATTATTCCTGCATCTATGATCTCATAGGATCCGAAGGTAAGCCAAGAAGGAACTTGGATCCATGATCCAAGTGGATCCCATCATGCACAACATTTGGAACTATGTTTCCAAGCATTGTTATGTGCATAAGTGCCTCAAAACTAATAATTATGATGGCAATCACATAAAATTGTCATAACATGATTTTTCTGAGTTGCTACAAATCAATGTTTAGGAATTCTATACTGGCAATAAAAATGATCTATGCTCGGGGTTACATGAGCAGAGTTAATACGCATTACAAACGGACTACAATGGTGAGCGAATAGGAAAATCCGTTCCTGATACGCATTTACTTGCTCATGTAACCCCGGTATATGATCTCACTGGATCTCAACCCAAAATTGGGCTTTGATCTTTCATCCCTTTGGATCTCGATAAATTAACGAGCTGGATCTATGATCTCATCGGATCCGAGATCAGGATCTGTGGAATCATCCCCTATCCATTTTCTCGGACCCACGCACATGTCAGCTAGAAGGACCTCGTAATTGAGAAATGTCGCCAGAACGATACCGATACCGATGGCGGTGGTAGCCCCCCAACAGACTGCCGTAAACCGCTTTCAATGCCATTAAAACCTGGACATGGTTTATTTACCGATTTATCCACTGACTTGTCCCACCCATTCCCTCATCCGCTTTGGCATTTCATAGATCAAGATGTCCAGTGTATCCGCGCTGATGTTCAGCCACACCTTTCACAGGTTCATCATAGATGGCCTTGGGTTCATCTATAGTCCGTTTTCTGTGGGAGCTGGCTCAATCTTGCTGAATTCCTCCTTCATGATTTCCCCATAGGTTTTCGATTGGCATTAGGTACGCCAGAGGATTCGATTTGACTTCCTACTTCATTTCAGTCTTCACCATAACTTCAGCGCGATGACGCTTTGTCAAAGAGTTTCTTCGGTCGTAGTAGAAACCACGTTCAGGTGCGAGTTACGCCTGCCAAACACTGGCCCCTGGCGCGTCGCAAGTGTCAAGGTCAGGTGACCGGGTTAGGTCATCTGGCTAACCGACAGCTGTGGATAGCCTGAGGCACGTTCTTAACAATTTTTCAACAGTTCTAAAAGCGCATGATGGGATTTAGCTGAATGAACAAGGGGCAAATAATTTCCGGTCACCCTGTAAATCTTATGAGTCTGAATTATCTGGAGCACATGGGTGCAGTTCCATTCATTTTTTTCTGTTATATTTCAGGCACGCCTAAACATGGAGCACGGTTTCGTAAAATTTGTCGTTAGAAACCAGCTAGACAGAGATAGATACGATCAGGAGATGAGAGAGAAGATGGACCAGGTAATTGTGCAGCATGTCTTCTAACCACACTGATGTGGTTTACATTGATCATGTTTACATGTTCCAATATCTTTTACTCGGTTTCATTTCCGCCCGATTTTCTCTTCGAATTTGTTACTGGAATGCAAAGCTGTCGTTTGAAGTAGAAACGAAACTATCTAGAAAATACGTGGTCTGGATCCTGTCGAAAAAACGATCACCGAACTGATGACCTATTATCAGGTCAAATCACCCTTTACCGTTATGACTCCAATGAGACTGCGTAAGCCGTAAGATGTCCATCTATCATCCCGCATGTGTGCTGAGACGGCCCTCCTGGACGTGTTCTCTCGCTCTGCCCCGCTTCTCCAGAGGTCGTCGCAGACGGTGCCGGCGCGGAGGACGCGCCGAGTCCCCCGACGTCCGGACCGTGCTGTCTATACTCCGCCGGTGGCGCGGAAGCCGGCCGTGCCGCCTCGCGCCGTGCTCTTCAGACTGGAGTACTGCGACACCAGCAGCGGAGCGGTGCGCCACGAGTCCTTCTTGGAAGGTAGTGATACCCATGTAAAACCATATCGACAGTCGTCATATATGTCTTAAGGGTAGCTGGCATGCTGATAGGCAGCAATACTTCAGTTTATCTAATGTAGTCATTGCTCGGGGTTACATGAGCAGAGTTAATACGCATTACAAACGGACTACAATGGTGAGCAAATAGGAAAATCCGTTCCTGATACGCATTTACTTGCTCATGTAACCCCGGTAATTCTTGCGCTCTTTGTTTTATACTGGTCTACGATGAAGTCCGTCCATAATGCCTTTCTAGCACTGCTTTTGAAGGACTATTGTGCGTACTTATATGTATTTGCCATTAAAAGTTGTTGGTTTGCCAAGTTATGGTGTTGTATGTTACTTTAGCAGTAGTGCTGCTTGTTTGACTGCTTGTTACTCCTTGCTTCTATTTCTTTCTCACTGAGTTAAAGGCAGATAAAACTCGCAATACAACATCCGATGTTAGGTGCTCATCTCCATTCTTCTGCCTCTGGGCCGTAGGGGCGAACTGGAAACGCCTCAAATACGCTCTCATCCTGCGATCCCATGTTACAGGCACAGACCTGGCCGAGTTCTGCGCCTCGTTCGCCAAGAAGGCCGGCCTGGACGAGCAGCGGCAGCGGGCTCTTCTGGAGCGTCTGCAGAAGGAAGTGGGGCAGGACGAGTCAGAAACGCTCCAGTGAGAGCAGAGGGGCACTGGTATGCACGTGAGGGATGGCGGCAGGGACGGAGGACGTGATCTCATAGGAAGGCTAGACAGCCGACGGTAAGATAGTGCTATGCCCATGGTGGCTTGGGATGACGGTGTTGAGGGCACGACCGTTTGGTGGGAGCCCGTTCTGTCGGTATCTGAGCGTACGCGGTGCTAAGCGCTCTGTAGCGGACATTTTTTCCGATGAATGACTGTGATTGTGGTCCAATATTGGCGGCGGGGGCTTGCTCTGGTTTCCTGTGCGGTAGCAGAAGCAGCAGATCATGCTAGTCAAGTCCTTCGTTTTCGTTTCTCACGTTGTGTTAGCCCTGCAGTGTGTAACAGATGGTCCGTGAGACCGATTCGGGCGATGTCGACAGGGGACGACGTACCAGCGGAAGTCATATCGTTCAGTACTGCCGTGTGTCACATGCGAGGAGCGCGCAGAGGCACACAGTTTTATCATGGTTAATGAGTGGGTGTGCATGGTTTTCTACTAGCCCAAAGCCTAGAGAAGTTTAATTGAAGTTGGTCTGGTGCTTTACATGAACGTAGACAGAACTCACGACAATGCAGAGAGGCAGGAAGGCTTATGTAAACGTCGCGTTAGGCTGTTGGACTCGGAGTGATCAAATTATCATGCGACCTCTATAACTCAGGTACAGGCATCCTCACTACTCACATTGTGTGCAGATGTGCTCCACTACTTGAGGCTTTAGGGTTGCTTCCACAAAGTGGATGAAAAGGTGAACACCTTTCTGGTCATCTGACTGCATGTCAAGTGTGTTGTGTCTTATCTACAAATACATGACATTTCTATTCTGTTGTAGTTTTAGGTACTGGTATGTGGTATCACTGATATAAGGAGCAAAATGCACAATATTATTTCAGCAGTGGCTACTTTCGCATTCTGTTCTTGTCTCCGTCTAAGCCCGCTACCCCCTTCTCTCGTTTGCTTTTTTATATTTTATTTCCTTTCTTAGCAGGGAGTGCCGCGACTTATCTGTTTATTTCGTCTGGTGTTAACGTAAGGTTCTGCTAGTCGCTGGGTTTGAGCATGGATATCTCTTATCCATGGTTTGAGGGTGGGGGCACTCCTGGTCACCTGATCATGGGTGGCGGAGTACTTCGAAAAAAGCCCAGATAAACTTCACTTTAAATCACTGCATCTCGAGCAAATCGTGGTTGTATTTCGCACATGGTAGTAGTATCATGACAACAATGAGTGCATTTATGCATCATTCAGCCAAACCATATGGCACAAACTACTCATCCTCATACTCAAGATGAGAGAGCTTGATCTCTTTTCCTTTAGATTTGTGCTTAGGTTTGGTCTTAGGCCCAGTAGGTTCTTCAGGATCTGAAGGTTTAGGTAATGAGGACGAATCTCCTTTTTGCTTGTCTTTGGTTTTGTTTGTTGGCTTTTTAAATATTGGCCTTTGATCTTTTGATGTGTCTTCATCTGTTTCATCTTGATCTTTCCTTTTCTTTTCATCAATTTCACGAAGGAATGCCAGTGCAGCAGCAGTGTTGGACTTTTGTGTCAGTTGCTGATCTGGCACATCATCCAGTGAATATTTGGTAAACTTTGAAGGATTTTTCACATGCTCTGGAAGAGAGTGTCCACCTCTTCTTTTCAATGCAGGTCTTCTTGGGGGAGGCATCAAGCTTGATGAGCTACCTCTGTGAGGTCTAGAGCTTTCTTCAGTTGCATTTCTCCTGTGTTGGGCCATGTTTGAATGCTTCAAATCTTTCTGAGGATCATTTTTTAAATACCCATCTGCATCTTGAGTTGGTGAATACTGCACACCATTGAGAGCATCGAACAAGCTTCCGGCCTTCTCTTTAAAGGCATCTTCCTCCCCTGCCAACAAAAACCTACCACCTTGATCTTCCATCTCACAAAGTGTGCCAAGGCAGCATGTGTATGAGCAAAGGCGTGTGCAATGCCGTGCAATGTGCACGCACTAACGCCAGTACTTCATTCAGTTTCCCACAGCCGGTGGGGAGTTAAAATTGGACACAACTTGCCCCAATACCTTGACTTTAAACCAAATTGCCAGTCTGTAGTGGTCAGCCTCACTGTTCAGGTTATTCACAAGTCTTCAGCTTTCCAGAAAACCTTTCTTTTGGCTGCATCAGGTTTTCTAGCATTTCAATACATGTAAAAACCCAACAACATGCCTCTAACTTGCCTCCAACACCAACACGCGCTTGTTGCAAACAAGGACACTACGGACACCACAAAACCAATAAAAACACTGTTGCAAATTGAAATTGCGTGCTAAAGAGGAAGGACGCGTGTATATCACACCACGGTGAGATTTACATAATGCATCGCACTGTAGTGTAAACCTCACCCGGGTGTGATTTACACAATACACTACTCCTGTGTATATCACACCACGCGGAGTGTGATTTACACAGTGGGCCGGCAATGCGTAAATCACACCGGGGTGTGATATACACAATGTGCTCCTAGTGTGTAAATCACACCCGGGTGTCAGACCACGCAGCACCTGGGTGTGATTTACACAGTAGGCCCGGCAAATGCGTAAATCACACCGTGGTGTGATATACACAATGTGCTCCTAGTGTGTAAATCACACCTGGGTGTCAAACCACGCAGCACCTGGGTGTGATTTACACAGTAGGCCTAGCCAATGTGTAAATCTCACCAGGGTGTGATATACACTGTGTGCTCGGTAGTGGGTAAATCACACCTGGGTGTCAAACCACGCAGCACCTGGGTGAGATTTACACAGTAGGCACGGTAACAAGACACTTAACCAAACCTTAGACCTGACCTGACCTAACCTAACCTAACCTAACCTAACCTAACCTAACCTAACCTGACCTACTGATTTTTGCCTACCCGTGGATGAGGAAGAAGTTACTCGCATGAAGAGATTGCAAGCAATGGTAAGTCAAATATTTTAAGGTTAAGTGGTTGTGCATCAGGCTTCAGGCCTTCGGCCTGAAGCCAGATACACAACCACTTAACCTAAAAATATTTGACTTACCATTGCCTGTAATCTCTCCTAAGGCATTGCCTTCGGCACTGCACCGCTTCGCCACGAGCATTCAGACGTCGCTTTCCATATTGTATTGGTGCTTTTAAACTTGTCGGTCGGCAGCGAACCCACCGCTACCAAGGAAAAGCGAAAATGCGGGAAAAAGCGCCCGCGCCGACGGGACTCGAACCCTCAACATTCGTATCATGGTGCAAGCACCTTCACCACTAGGCCAGGCGGTCAGCTGATTCCGAGAGAGAGGACGCCCGGAATCCCGCCGGAATATTCGTAGTGCTTAGTCTGATCTGACCAATGGGCGAGCAGAGTCACTGCTCTGACCAATGGACGTTCAGCGTTGCTATGACGTCACATCGTGGTGAGATATACACACAGCTGCCCTCTCTGTGTATTCCTCACTCGGGTGTGATTTACACTACGTAGTAGATTTTGTGTATATCACACCGGGGTGGGTGTGATTTACACAAATGGCCGGTATTGTGTAAATCTCACCGTGGTGTGATATACACGGTCCCAAAGAGGAATTTTCAAGCGTAGCAAGAGCGCTGTTTTTGTCTTAATGGCAAAAGAAAACTCTTGCTATACTACATTTCTTGTACGTCATTACAACGCAAACCAATCAATGTCAAAATGACTATTCGAAGTGACCAAAATCTGAAAGGTCATTGGTAGATCGCTCCTCCGGATGAATGACGTCATTGGCTTCGTAAACCGTTCGAATTTCATTTGCAGACTACGGAAGACGGTGGTGACCTTTGCTTGTGTCGGGCTTGGTGTCGTCCAAGGCCAGTGTTGGGGCAGTGTTGGTGTCGTCTGTGTGTTGCGCTTGCTTGGTGTTGCGCGTGGAAATTGTGGTGCTAGTGCGGTTGGCATCTATATGCGATAATCCTAGGTGTTTTCTGAATCGTTAAGTCAAAAGAAGATAAGCGATAATAGGGTGCTAAACTGCTCTCGTCATGAATGAAAAGAAGAGAAAGCAAAAACAGTATTATGTCAACCAAGCAAAACGTGCCAGATTTGAGAAAAGAAAGCTTCACCCAGGTCTGAGGGGCTTTCTCTGCACAACAAATAATAAGGAAAGAGAGTGTGTCCGTGAAGCCTATAACATCCTTAACGAGTATGCAAATCAAATGTATGGTGCAGAAGACAGTGTTCAAGTGAGTCCTGCTCTCCTTTGTGTTAGAGTGTTAGATACTAATTATATGCACAATTATAAGGCAAATATATGGTTGAGTCATTTTTATGATTGCTATATTTTGTTTCTTTATGAATGACTGAGGTGCCATAACCCATAAGTGGATATTTGGGACATGCTTATATCCCTTCTCCTTATTTGATGCCAACATCAACCTTGTTTCAGGAGGAGGTAGCAGCAGCTGGGGGCACATCACAGGATGTGGAGCAGAGTCTGGAGGCAGAGCTGGCAGCTCTGAAGGAGCAGAAGGTTTCCAAGGAGCGGAGATTCCAGCAGGTGGAGAGCGGCGCCAAAAACTGCATCTTTATAAGCACTCAGGTGCGGCAGCTTGTTGGGGACAATAACCTACTGTATATTATTTGGTTCCCCCAAAGTTTTCCCCTCTGGTCCGATAGCATGACCCTTGCCAGCATGGGGGGGTTTGATCCAACCCTCTCCTAAGGTTTTACACGAATAACTTGTGTAAAAAACGGCCTATCACGACGAAATGTTCAGTGCTCTCGCATTTCTTAATTTTACACCTACCCTGAAAATTTCATGACCCAAATGACCTTTGACCTGTAACCTACTTTCCGAGACCATGTTTGGTCGGAATCGCGATTCCGCGTGTGTCTGCTCGAGTTTGTCGCGCGTTTGCAAGCATAGTTCAAACATGTGATTTGATGCTGCTCCCATGCATTAGGGTGGACGTCAAGGTCACCTGAAGGTCAGGTCATTGACCTTTGGTGACCTCAGCTCCTTTTTTGGGGTTTTACATGTTTCTAAGCTAGTTTTTGGAGCTGAGTTCGAATTTACAGCCATTTAAACATTTACGAATAAGTTTTGGTGCCTTTCGTAACATAATACGAAGCTGTCAGAAGCGGTTGACACGTACTACGAATGCCTGTCACGACCCCTACTGGTTGACCTGACCTGACCTGACCCGACCAGGGCTAAATGCTTAAAGACATCATCTGTGATCAAAACTAACACGATATTCGTGATGAGCACCCCAAAAACCCCATAGCAGCCACACTTTACGACTTTCTAACAGGTCCCGATTTTCCCGACTTTTTGGTCATTGACCTGACCTGAAAGGTCAACCGATGACCTTGGACCTTAAAATTGGGTATCATCGGCTTCCTCTCGTGACGGGCAACACACTCGTTTTTTTTCGCAAAGCTCTAGCTCGTTCAGGGGCCAAACGCGAGGGGGGTCGTACCCCCTTGTGCCGTCAAAGGACGCAAAATGGCCTGTGCCGGCGAGGGTTAATGTGGACGTTGTGGTTTTCATGCTACGCACACCCCTGAGGATGTTGCTCTCTGTCTATTGTGACCATTTCTCACGCACTCTGACCTGGTGACAGCTCAGTTCCCCTTAATAGCGAGTAGCTACCTACCACTCCTCTCCTGTTGTGACCACGTTGCACCTGTTCCCGGCAGCTGGAGCAGACAGCACCGCTGGTGGAGCGGATAGCACGCGAGATTCGCGACACGGGCACCCAGAGAACCCGCTACCTGCTCCGACTCATTCCCGTCCAGGTCACATGCAAGGTAACAAACGCACGTGAAAGGCCTGGGTAACTGTGGATACTGCTCTAAGGGACTTGTTCATAAAGTCAATATTTAACCCTGATGACTCGTTTGTGGTGAACGATGAGTGTCATTCAGTAAAGTAGTGATCGAATCTGTAATTTGTCAAATACTACGGTTTTTGTGTAGAATACCGATGTCGCCGACCTTGAGGATCTGGCTGAGGCCGGGATATTTGATTTGTAGCACACACAAAAAAAAACAGACGAATTTTGAAGAATTTATTCGGGACGATAGACGATGATCAACGGTAGACGAGAATGAATTGAAGAACACAGTAAATAAACCGATGTGATGCTGTTGTCTCGATCTGTACTCTGTGCGACAATGGCGTTCAGGGACGCGTAACCTTTCTTTCCCGTGTGGTGTTCTAATAGTCTGGTTTGCTTAGGCGACGGAGGAGGACATCCGGGCGTCGGCCGAGTCAATGATCAAAGAGGCATTCACTGAGATCGGCGTCAGCTATACGACCGTCTTCAGGTGAGCTACTCCGTGAGCTACACTACTGTGTTCAGGTGAACTACTCCGTGGGTCATACTGCAGTCTTTGGTGGGCCAGTGAGCTACACCACCATATGCAGGTGAGCTTAGTCGCTGTTCAATATTCAGGACGTGAGCTAAGGTAATGTCTCAGGTGAGCTAAAACATTCAGGTGAGCTAGTGAGCTAATCCGCAGTCTTCACGTAAGCCAAACCAACGTCATCAGGTGAACCACTCCGTTATTATCCATAGACACTGGCACTGCTGTTTTTTACGTCAGGTGATCAAATCAGCTACACCACCGGCTCCAGGTGAACTAGGTGAACTATTGATAGGCTACCGATTCAGCTGTCAGGTCAGTAGACCGTCCCTCAACGACAATCGGTCTGTAGCGCGTTGTTTAGTGTCCTTGGCCGCTACTTCATATGATATCAGAACGCGTGTTGAACGGTGATAATAATGCTGGTTTATTAGAGACTTGATATACGTGCGTCACGGAACAAAACCAGAAACGGAAGAAGGAGTCGCGTCGTTGGAGTGGAGCTACGGAAAACATATTATTAGTTACTACGGTTTGATAACAGATTGTCGGCTTAGTTGATAATTTACATATGAAATAATTTACTATGAATGATTGTGAAGCGAAGCAATGAGTGTGATGTATGATTAAAATAATTCTATTCTACTGCGTGATACTGGATACTGAATACTGATCGTCACATCTGGCGCCACCTCGCGGAGCATATAAAAGTAGTCACCGACGCAGCGGTGATAGATGGCGCAAGTGATTAGTGAGGCCCGGCGCAGAGCCGGTAAGCGGCAGGGCCGGTGCCGGGACTACAGGTCCTATTTATGACAATTTACAGTTCAGTAGACCGTCCCTTATTGACATAGGGCAAGGTACGGTTTAGTAAACTTTCCCTCACTGACCTTCAGTCCTGTTTATGACAGGTCACAGCCCGGGAGACTGTCTGACCTGCGTGAGTTACACTGACCTTCGGTCCTATGTATGAAAGATCACAGATCAGTAGATCATCCCTCACGTCCTGACCCTCCGTCCTCTCGTTCTCAGGTCGCGGAACGATGCACACTGTTTGCACAGTTCCTCACTGACCTTATTCCTCCCTCTTTCTGTCTCCAGGTCGCGAAACCAGGCACAGTTCCTCACTGACCCTACTCCCTCTCGTTCTCAGGTCGCGGAACCAGGCACAGTTCCTCACTGACCCTACTCCCTCTCGTTCTCAGGTCGCGGAACCAGGCACAGCACTGCCGTGCAAAGGCAAAAACTATTATGTCGGGTCAGAGGCCATTACCTCAGGTCAGAGGTCACCCGAACATAATGGGTTTTGCCTTTATACGGCAGAGCACCTCACTAACCCTACTCCCTCGTTGTCTCCAGTTCGCGGAGTCAGGCACAGTTCCAAATCCAAATCCAAATCCAAATCCAGTTTATTGAGGTCTCCATTCAAATGGCTTTTCAGCCCTCTCGTCGTGTACATACAAGTATTAAAATTCGCTGACAAACACGTGAATCATTACGCAGTACGTACATAAAAAGGCTAAAATCAACGCAATAGCGAAACACTAAACACCAAAAGAAATAAAAGACATCTAAAATACATGGTTTTTCATCCGCTGCCGACCCCGCCAACGCTGTTCCACGTGGACACAGATCTGTAAGGGAAACAGCGCCTCGCTCGTTCACTCTTAATTTTAGGTAGCTCCAACTGATGTCCGTGGGAGCATCGGGTGTGTCTCTGTGACACGTCCGAGCGACGCTGCACAACTTGGGCCAGTGCAGGCGGCGCGTCAAGCGCGGCGGCGCGTCAAGTTCCTCTCTAACCCTCCTCTCTCTCGTTCTCCAGGTCGCGGAACCAGGCACAGCTGTCTCAAACGGACGCCCAGTCGGCCATCAACAGTCTGATCGATGCTGTATGTCCGACCGCCCGGCTCGACCACAAGACGCCCACGCTTACCGTGCTCATGGAGGTGATCAGGAACGTCATCTGCCTGGGTGTCGTGCGCGACTACTTCGCGATGAAGAAGTATAACCTGGTGGAGCTAGCCAAGGCGGCTGGGGAGGAGGGCGAAGGAGGGACGGGGGAGGGTGAGACGAACGCCGAGGCGAAGGGTGAGGGAGGCTGTGATGAGACGGACGGGAAGAAGGAGAGTGAGGTATGTGATACGAGTGATGGCGCGGGAGGGACGAAAAGCGCGGGGGATGGTGGCGAAAGTGGCGAAGGAGCGACGACCGAGGCCAAAAGTGACGCAGAAGCGGCGACCAAGGACGAGGACGGCGCAGGGGCGGTGGGTGGCGATAGCGCTGCTGCGGGGGCGACAGCGGGGTCGCCAAAGGCGTCTTCCGACCCTGTGGAAGGGGACAATGGGCAGTCATCGGCAGCGGAGGCCGAAAGCGCGCAGGAGCCGACAAAGCGAACGGCGACGGAGGAGCCTCGCGCGGCTGACGCGCCCTGAGTCTCGGGATCTCGCCGTGGTGAGAAGTGGCGTCATCCGAAGGCAGTCTTCACATTAGCGTAGACGGCGCCTGCTGAAGAATTCATCGTTAAATGTTATGCAGATGAAGGCTGTCGAGGGACTCAGCACAATAGAGGCTTGCCCACAGAGTTAAAGCCCTCTCATGCTCGTCTGCCGGCCCAGATTGTTTGCTGACGAGTCCTGCTGGTTGTGTGGTGAAATGTTGGAATAATCGCCACGCGCCTGTGGATGGGAGTGCCGGCGTGTTTTAACCCGGACGTTGTCGGCCCCCGATAACCTGCTTTCTGGTAATTGAAATACAGTGACATTGCTGGTTTTGTTGTCCACAATACACCCGGGAAATGTGACGTTTCGATTGGATTTGGGATCTGGCGATATAAAATATGCGCTGCTTGTGTAGGTAGGTTGTGTAGGTATTTTTAGCTGGTAATGGTAAGCCTTCCTTTTCATCACACCTATCGTTTCGCTTGCATTTCGCAAACTTGGCGTGCTCATGGAAGAAGCATTTATAAGGTGGCTGGTCCCAACATTCCTTTACTACGCTGGTCTCCCCCCCCCCCCCCGCTTATTCGCTTGTGACCCATTTGGCAACTAAGCGGGAACCGACACCTACTCGCGCGGGAAACGTTCCCTGCATATTGCGCAATTGTCTCCGCTGCGCCATCCGGCGGCGTCGAACGAAACGTTTGCGAAACGTTTTGAGGTGTGGGCACTACTTTGATGGCGAATGACTATTGATGTGCTTCGTCTGATAGCATCGGCCAATAGGAGGCCGCGTTTTCATGACGTCAGATGCTCATACGCGTGTCGTATATAAAGAAAGTTGGACTTTTTTCGTCGAGAGATAGCGTTGAAGAGGCGGGTGATCGCTGTTCGTCCGTTCTTCGGATTTCAAGATATATTTAGCTGGTAAGCTACTATTCCTAGCGTTGCACATCATGGCAGACTTGTTCCCCGATATCAGACTTTTCGACGAGCTTGAGTTCCTTCGGTTCAGCGATGAGCAGTTCGCATCTGAAGTGATTCTCCCAGAAGACTCAGACACTCAGCAAACGCCACTGTTTTCGGCTGCGACTCGGAAATCTACCATGTCCCAAAGTGATTTTATCAACAGCCCGTCGTCGTCACCCCGCACACTCACTGAGCTGAAATCTGTTGTTGCATCATGTACTGTTGGGATCTATCGTAGCCCTGAGCCAGAAGCGAATGATGTCCGGTTTGAACCTGTGGCAGATAAGGAGAAAACGTTGAATGAAATGGTAGCAGCTTCCAGTGACAGAGATGCTTTAGGTCGAGCCATCAGCTGGTCGTATGACAGCGCTGAAGAGGCAGATGTCACGTCACCAGTTTCCTTTTCAGCCATCTCCGAGAGGTCTGCGGAGGAAGCCGGCATGGAGCTCATCCAGTCATCGGAGGTTTCCCAGACTGAGACCGCCTCTCCAATGGAGGATGCTCCTATGGTCAAGCACCCAAAGGAAAGGAAGCTGAAGGTGCTTCGCAAACCTGCAAGTACGCAGTCGCCAGTGCATACATACAGTAAGCTTGATGCAGCTTTGTGCAAGAGAAAGCTCTCTGTCACTGATGAAAGTTCTGGAATTGCCAGATTCAAGACAACTAGGAAAACCAAGAAGTACATGCAGAAGCCGTACACTGACCCGAACCTGGAGCGCACTCGACTGAATGCCATCAACGCCAAGAAGAACCGGGACAGGAAGAAGCAGGAGATGATGATGCTCAGTGAGAAGTGTAACAACCTCTCCCAAGAGAACAGGGAACTGGACAGGAGCAAGAGGAGCCTGGAGGCTCGGCTTCATGCCGCCGAGGAGGAGATAGCGTTCCTGCGGAGGGCTCTGCTGGACCAGGTCGGCCATGCGAGGCCAGCTCTGGGCGATGCCCTGAAGTCCCTCGGTGGAGGGGACTCGGCTCCGGCAGGTGTGTTTGGAGCAGTGGGGAAGGACATCTGAACCAGGGGTCTGGAGTGTGTCGTTGTGCCCCAGAAAGTGTGTGGGAACCATGTGTTTGTCAACCGCCCTGTGCAGTGATATGCCTCTCACGGAGCAGTGAGAGGCCACTTCTGTCCAGTCTTGAATGACTTACTGAAAACTAAAGCTGTTGGTAGGAGTGTGTGCGTGTATGCTGCATGCATCATTGTCTTGTTTTTAGCCATCTGCCCTTCTTCTAGGTTGATGCCGCTGGTCATAGATCCAGAGCACCATGCAAGCTGTCATGGATACATCTTATTTATAACAGGTTGGTATACAGGCCCCTTCAGTGACACTGTCCTGACAAATGCTAAGCTTTGATATCTCATATCTTGCAGACACTGTTGATACTCCACTGCTAATTTTCCCATGTTTTGCACCTCTCCCATGAATCAGATGATGTTTGGCTATGTTCTTTCCAGCACACCTGGGCCTTCTACCTCCCGTGGAAGAGGATGAGAGGTAGTATGCCAGTCAGGTGGTATCATTAGGTTTTGATTCATTCATTCATGAAGAACCTCCATGTCATTTGTCTCATCATTGCAGCTTGTACAAATGGCTGCTGTGGCCACTTAGCTGCTCAAACTGTGATACTTGTACATTGTTTGTGAGAAGTGTAATATAGTGTTCATGTCATCATCAATTGAACTGTTTCGATGGAGGGAGGGCCGAGGGGTGCGGTGGAGTCCGGGAAACCTGCTGTATGATATAGTGTGAATTCCAAGCAGCCATCTTCGGAGAGGTTGGGACCCTGAGGAACAGCTGAGGACATCTACTGGACGTGAGCAGCACTTCATGGATGAGGCAGCACTGGCAGCAGCGGCGGTCGGGGTGGAGCTGCACTCACCCGTGAACACTGCAGGTAAGTGCTCTATCCAAAACACTGGTATTGGTATCTGTTGCTGCAGTTGTGCTCAAAAGGGTTGGATTCTACAGATCGTTTTACATAATTGACATTTCGTTTTGCAAAAATGGCTAACGAAGCGTGATGTAAAGCAGCTACCTACTGTAGTTTTTCGCAGATATCTCAATCCTTTTTGCCCATGGGAAAATTCAGACCCATGTCACTCAGTCGGGTCACCTGCCTCGTTTCATAAAGCGAGTATGTAACTTACAGCGGTTTTTGGTCTTGTATTGCAAGTGCATGTGTAGCGATAACGTTAGTTTGAATCGGTGAATTTATGTATCTTGCAAGCAAGAACAGAAAAGAGAGGGGTTAATAAATTTATCGCTTCACATGCACTGGCAATACAAGACCAAAAACCGGCGTAAGTTAGGGATTCACTTTATGAAACGAAGCCCAGGTCAAGATTTTTACAGATAGCCCAGGTCACATCAAGTGACCTCACCTCAGAAAGTATAAATGCTTGCTGCAGAACCCACTGAACGATCACCTTGAAAGTTTCAGTGATTGATGAGAGTAGCAACAGATCCTTAGAATCTACTAAATAAAATTTTTATCTTGGAATCTTGATGTAGGTAGGTCAACATGACCTAAGGTAGGTCAACTTTGCACTCTCCATTACCTACAAGTCGATGGGAGAAAATTGAAAGTCGCGTCTTTTGGGCTTTGCATCTTAATTTGGACGAACGTCATTCTTAGCACTCTCAAACATCGGGTTACAAATGACGCACTGAATCGCTGAATTGCATTCGTGACCCCTCCTTGTCTCTCTGAGGTCATCTCAGCTCATGTCATGAAAGGTCTCCAGATTTATTTACACAAACTTGATAGAGGGACATGCTAAAACGATGAAAAATCGTCAGACATGTTCAGTTCGACGGTACGGATCGTCTGATATGCAACATGCCCTTTTCCGACCAGGGCATGACCTTGACCTTGGGTCAAATTTTCAAAATCCTAGGTAAAGGTCAAAATATAGTCCATCCGACCCGTGTCGACGAGAGGATCACGATGCTGGCAAAGGCTATGTCTTGTTTTTATTGACTCAAAAGTTATCACAGAAAAAAATCACGTTTTTCGAGTTTTTGCCCTCTGGAGGCTAAGTCATTGATCTTAGGTCAAATATGAGAGCTTAAGCCAGAAAGAGCGTTAAAAAGCTAGCGAATGAGCTTATCCACGACGTTCTAGCTCTCCCCTGTTATGTGCCGATTTGACAAAAAAAAAGTTCAAATAGGCAAGATTTCATCTCTTCATGACCTGACATTTGACCTAACTATAAAAAGATCAATGTACCTTTGTCATTTTTTACGCTCTTTCGATTGCCGCTTACCGCGTGTCGCTACCTACGTGGCCCAAGAGCTGAGTTAGAGGGGGAAGGGGTGTTCAAACACCCTCCCCCGGCATGGCGCGGTTGGCGTCGAGCACCGACCCGGCGTGGGTTCAGCAGTAAGAAAAATGCTCTTTTTTAGCTCTCACAGCGTTCACGTTGCCCCAAAAGACGGTAAATAACTTTTGAAAATACCCGTCTCCAATTTTAGTGTGCTCTGAACATAGGCGTCGCCAGAGATTTTCGGTTGGGGGGGGGGGGCAAAATCAACTTTTGTGTTAAAACTTGCCTTTCCCCAGTCTTTACTCACTCGTTTTACACATCATTCGACGCGCAGTGGTGCGAGGAATCCGATGGTGTCAAAGGTTTCCTTCTAGCTATGACATGTAATTTTTTTTACAAAAAAAATCAAAATTTTGAAATTTCATGACAAAAACGACTGGTAGAATTATAGTATATAGTGGCTGCATTGCCGACGCACTGCAGAGGGCCCCTGTGCAAACGCTCGACGCTCATGATCATTACCCAGAAAAAAGGTGAAAACCGCTCCATTTAATCGGATCACCCTGCTAAAACCTCCATTCACGCATGCATGCAGAGGTTTTACGTGAAATGCATAGCGCTTATCCCAGCCGCCGATCGTAGCTAAGTTGGGCATTCGGCGGAGAGTGAATGTCGGATGTGTGAATCGGAAGTAATTCATCTTTGCTCCAGTGAGAGGAAGTGTTTTGTTCACTCGAGTGTGAACAAAAGTTTCTCGTTTTTCGTGTGAAGGGAAGCGCTGCAAACGCGAACAAAAACTGTTAAACGGAACCAAAAGTTACGCACGGCATAGCGGCAAGGGATCCCTTGGAGATAGGTTTGGGACTTCCAGGCCATTTCAGGCCACTCAGGGTCAGTGCTGACTCTCAGAAGCATGCTTAGGATCCCGGAGATCGGCGTGGGTCACCTCAAATATTTACGTGTACGTGGAGCTTTAGGGCTTTCCGAGCCCAAGGTGGGGCCCTCAGAAGCCAGTGTGGGCGGCGGGCGCTAAGAGACTAGGCCCAGGGTGAGCCTGGAGCCCTCAGATAACAGTGTGAACCCTCGGGGTCTGTGTCGAATCCCTAAGGACCCTACGTAGGGACATAATGAACATGTGTTGCGGACCTCAGAGGGACACGTGAGCTGTGACCCCTCAGATGCCGGCTTGGGGTTAGCAAAGTCTGTCGCCTCAAAAGTTTTGCTGAACTATCAGGGGCCAGTTAAGGTTCTCAGAAATGTTCGAAGGCTCAAATATCCCTGTATGGGCCCTCAGAGAACATGGACACCAGTGGGACTTTCAGAGGCCGGTTTGGGCCCTCTGAAGGCTTCTTTAGGGCTCAGTGGAGCTCCTTAGGAGCCTTTGTTTAAAGCAAGCTCATGAGCCCTGCGACGCTTGTACGGTACTTGAGCATGTCGCAGACATTTGACGAGAGTTGAGAAAGGCCCCGAAGATTTCGTTTCACGCTTTGAACGAAAATTGTGTCACCACTCCAAAACTTATGAAAATCAGCTGTAAAATGTAATAAAGAACGAACTAGGAACATGGAATGAATCACAGCATTGACATTTCCGAGTCTGGACTCGGAGTCTTGAAAATTTTGGCGACTGCGAGTCAGACTCTGGTTTGAACTGCTTGCTGCAACCGAGTCTGACCTCACAGGCACTCTCAGAAAGGTACCCCCATTTTTTCCCGACTCCAAAATCTCATCTGATCTGTATCGATCTCAGGGGGTGCCCGGTCCGAGGTTGGGGGGGGGGGGCAAGCTGCCCCGCTTGCCCCCCCGTGGCGACGCTAATGGCTCTGAACTAGAATTTTGCGAGGAAATCGATGGTGTGGCCCTCGAAATCTGAAAAATATCCATTAAGAAGATCGCACCTACTTTTTTTGGAAAAAAAATATTTGTCATGCATAATAGTCATATGAATTGGACATACAATTATTTAACCCGCGCGGCAGTGGCGGTCTCAGCCAACTTTGCAATAGTGTGGGGGGGGGGGGGGCATATGTTACCATCCACCTCTAACTCAAAAAACTAGGAGGGCTAGAAAGACGCGGTAAAAAGCAGTCGATAGCTCTCAATGCGTACGTTTGAAACTATTTCAGTCATTTTTCATCTTAGAGCAATATTGGGGTCATCAAAGGTCAAAATTTGTCAATTGTCATTATATTTTTCAGAAAATATGCCGTTATCTCAGGAACGATGATACCTGGAAAAACGCATGGAAAAGCAATCGATAGCTTTTGAACTCTTCTTTTGATAAGGTCATCATCAAAATTGACCCCAGGTCAATGGTTTAGCCTCCAGAGAGCAAAAACTCCAAAAGTAGCTGTTTTTACGTTAAGTGTTTTTCGACAATAACTTTTGACTAAAAAAAGCCACGACATTTCTATTGCCAGAATCGTGTTCCTCTCGCCAAGACGCGTCGAATTAACTATAATTTGACCTTGAAAGGTCAACTTAAAAATTTGACCTCAGGTCAAGGTCATGACCTGACCTGAAAAGGTCATGTTGCATATCAGTCGATGCGTCTCAACAAGACAAACATAATGAGGCCATCCACAGGGTTCTATTTCTTTCCAATCGAGCGTTATTGGCAAAAATCTGTTTGTAGCCTCAAATGACCTTGGATGACCTTTCTAGAAGCCAGTAGCAAAAAAGACACCTTTGTCGTCACGGGTGGTCCAAATCATTGTGATTCTGAAATATTTGGACTGTTCCTATGCGTACACACGGATCTAGAGGCATTTTCATTTTTCTCCATTGACTTAGATTGGAAAGGTCACGCCACGACCTTAGGTCACGGATATAAAAAAAAATCCGAGATACCTATACAAATTATAGGTGCCCATGGCCATAACATCATGCAATCCAGCAAGTTTAAAGGGACCCTCCCACCTTAACATTAGTTTTGAGTTGAGATAGCCAAGTTTGCGGCCAGGCTCAGAAACCACCATTTATCCTGGTCGCAACCCCCGCAGCTTTATGGTGTTCAAGAAATTTCTTCCCTTTACTTGCAGGGTGGGACCAGCGTGGTCCCTATCTCTTAACCATTACGGGAATCTGATGACGTCATCAGGCTTTCGAACGTCCGTTAAATGTTTGACTAAAACGTTTTGTAGCACGCGGCGGTATATGCTGCGTTGCGCGCAACAAATGCCGCACTTTTAAATAAAGTCGCTAGGAACAGCGGAGATCCCAAAAAGTAAACAAAAGTAAAAGTCTAATATATTGAAAACCGGTGAATATTTTTCGGTGAAATTTGGTAAATATTCGTTTTCGCTCTTTCTGAACCGAGTGACATCACTTTCATGCCAATTCATAAACTTTTTTGAAGGTGGGAGGGTCCCTTTAAAACCTCTCTGACAAACACTGCAGGCTGGACAGTGGACATTATTGCAAACTTTTTAGGCTTGGTCAGTTAACTTGACCTGGTGACATGGCCTGACATGACCTGGGGTCAAAAATTTCACACGTAGTCCAAAATTGATGCACAGAAAGCTACTCCAAGGCTGCGGCGCGGCGCTACGCGCCGCGGTTTTTTATTCACACGCAAAATGATATAAAACATGATATAAAACTATCCCAAGAACGTGGAACGTGATTTGATGCACTCCTTGCAAGGTTACATGCGTCACTTTTGCAATGTTGACCTTGCGTGACGTCATTTATGACGTCATTAGGGTCATGTTAGTTTTTCGTCAATAACTCCCGATTAAATTGAGCTAGCGAGTCGGGAAAGCCACCAATGGACTCCCGGAAGACCTGCCGAATCGAATGATATGCGACATGACCTACTTTGCCCAATTTCGTGACCTGGGGGCGCTGACCTGACCGTGACCTGAGGTCAACATCCTAAGTTGACCTCAGTCCTCACCCAAACAAACAGTACACCATTCGACGCGCCTGAGGGAGGCAAACATGATGCTGTCAAAATCGCGGCTCTGCGGCCGTTTTTTTTGCGAAGTTATTCACCAAAAACGGAACCGTACCTTGGGGCACTTGACCTGACCTCAGAGGTCACCGGTTGACCTAGGACCTTAAAATCGGGTATCAATCTCTGCGTCTCGTAACGGCACACAGGCTCGTTTTTTCCGCGACGCGCTAGCTCCACCAGGGGCGAAATTGCGAGGGGGTCATACACCCCCCCCCCCTCTCGGCCGGCGCGTATGTAGAAAACCAATAGGTCCGGCGAGGGTTAACCAAAAAACTGGGCCAAAGTCGCACGAAACTACGGTACCTGACCGTGACCTGAGGTCAACATCCTAAGTTGACCTCAGTCCTCACCCAAACAAAAAGTATACCATTCGACGCGCCTGAATGCAAGTATGCAAAGCTGTTCACGTATATTTATTATATCGTTCAAACAGGTAGTTGACACGTAAGAGGGTGCACTGTGATCAGATACAAGCACCCATAATAAAAAGGCACATCGAAGTACGGCAAAATACGAACGCTCTACCGGCTGCAGCGTGTCTTGGACTCTGGTAACGTTGATGGTATCGATGACTGTTGCACATAGCTGCGTGTAACTGCAAGGCGAGGCAGCTTTAGGGAACTCGCTCTCTCGCACGCACACAACTTGGGCCTGGCCTGATGCGCACTAAATGCTTTGAATCTTTGTCATCAAAGTATTGAATACATCTGCGCTATGCTCAACTCAATTAAAACATGTAAAGCCGTCCCATGTTATTCAATATTCAGGCTTCCTCACTGATCCGTTCATCATTAACCTCTCTGGCACACCAAGCGGCATTCAATAACGCGAGAAAAACAAACAGTATCACAGATTCTGACGCTCGTGGCCTTTGCCGTCCATTCCTGTCAAATATCACTCTCAGTTACATACAAATGTAGGGTCACCTGCAACGTTCGACCGAAAATGTAGCTGCACATATCGCATGGCGGTGGTTTTCGCCGCTAGCACTGTCCTCAGTTCAGCTATCTAAGCTTGTTAGCTGATAAGCTATCACAAAAACTGTGCGTGCTGATATGGATAATTGATACCCACTACGGACTGTTGTGATCATGATCAAACAGCATGATAGCCTTTGCAGGAACCGAGCTAATTGATACAGATTGTGCCAGTGGGGCGAAATACAGGGAAACGAGGCGAAGACTACGTCTAGGGTATTCTGGAACATTGAACCATGAAATATTGATCAGCATTGTGATGTTTCTACACTACCACCTCTTATGTGATATTGATGCAAAAGCTTCGCAATCAAATAAAAGATAGAACACTGCTCTTGTTTGCACAGGCTTGTCAAGTACAGGGTGTCTCAAAAGTTCGTTGACAGGTACCAGCCATGCTTTTTTTGTCAATAATTCTAAATCAACAATTAATTATTGGTCGAAATTTTGCATGGGCATTCGTAACAACCTTCCTCAAGCAGTCTCATTGTTTTCAAGCGCATTCGACCCTTCATGCGCTCACAAAAAGGGTTCATCTCTGACCATGGGTCAGGCATGAAAATGGAGGTCGCAAAATCGGGTCGTCTGAGAAACTCTATTTCAGAAGCAATGGGAATGGTTCAGTCGGAAATGACACATGGCAAACTGTCGGCGAGGATGAGTACAACATGATGATCATCTAATAAAAACGGCGGCTAAAATTTTTGAAGGACAAAACCATGCGAGACTAACAGCGTTTTGAACGACCCTCGTACGGCAGCAGACTCGTGCTCCGGAAAGCAGCTGAAAATTAAGTCATAACTATTGAAAACTGACGAGAAGCTCACAGACAGAGGTTAACCAGTTTCAAAAATTGCAGGTCATCGTAAAATAAAGACAAATTATCATTTGAAATTGTTTATAATATCTATAACGCTAAATTTTGGGGAAAAATAACACGAAAATCGTCAATGCCAAGGACAACTGACCCTCCAATAGTGTCAATTAATGTAAATTTTTATCCTACGAAGTTTCAAGAGGCAGATCTGGAGCGAATAGCTTTCTTTTAGACACAAAATCCCGACAAAACCGCACGATGGACAGGTTTTGGCCGTTTACAAAGCAGAACCTCTTCTGAGAAAAACACTCCGCAACTCAGCGAAGGTCTTGTCATGGGGAATGATGAGCGTTTGGGATTTGCAAAATTTGCACAACGTGTCTAAGAAACAGATGGCCGACACATTCTTCTACTATATTCTGCGAAAAATTCACCCCTGGCTTTTCCCATTTGTTCAGGAAGGGGGTTGTTTTGAAAAGGAAAATGGTGCTTGTGAGGTCGGCGCCAGTTATTCATGAAGGAGTTAGCGCCAGAGAAGACCTACAAAATACTCACGGGTGGTGTCGATGCAAGCTGTCGGCTTGCAGGGAGAAGCGGATGTTGCCGGGGAGCTCGTCAAATCTAAATCTGACGCAGAAACTGGAGGGGATTCCCCTACAAGAGTTTGAAAGTTGGTAACCTTTTATCAGCCTCCGGCAGCTTACGGAGCGACGAGAATCGGTATGGACAAATATTTTTGGAGATACAGCAAATAGTTTGATTTCCAACCTTCCGAATCAGTTGTCAAAGCATGCATATTTGTCTAGTGTGCACACAGACACCAAAACCTTAGATTTTTGGCCGGTTCTTATATGCTTTATGTTTATGGGCATGGGAAAGGTGTCAACGAACTTTTGACTTTGAGACACCCTGTAGGTACGAATGTATGGATATCCGATACTGCTCAGAACGTCTGTATACCGAGTCCATAGCATGGTAACTAACACTAGCTGAAGAATCTAAAGGCACCATCGCGTCCAACGCCTCTGGTGCCATTGTGTTCACCACGCCACGTCCCCACATCTGCAACGTTCTCATTGCGTTGATACCGTCTTCTTCCAGCGCTTAGTTGTGTAGTAGAGAGGAGAATCCTGCCTTTGAACGATATCGGTGACAAAAACCACCGTTGTCGCATCAACGGGGAATGTAACGAACCTTACACGTAGAAAGCACACGGCACTGTTATTCCATGTCACCCTGTCCCGGTCAAATCACCTCCGTTTTCGGGCCGAGTCCAGCCACCGATTCACACTAGGCGGCGACGTATCCAGGGGTGCCAGTCGCACCCTGCCGTCCACGGGAGAGCGAGCTGTCTCGTCCACAATCACCACCTCATCACCAACACCAGAGGAGTCACCAACACCACCAGCGCCACCGCCCGTCTCCCTACCTTCACCAGCGTCCGCGGAGGTCATCTCAATAATCTCATTGATAACCCTCAGTCGGTCCTCTGGTTCTGTGATACTACTGGGCACATCCTCGCCCTCCTCCTCATCCTCGACCGGCAGGCGGACCCTCAGCCGCCTCCTGCGGCGGTCGGCCCGCTCCTGCTCCAGGCGCTCCTTCCGCTCCTCCTCCTGTTTCCTGTGACGCTCCCGCAGCAGGCTCTCCTCGGTGGGCACGGCTAGCTATCCTCGGCCCCCCTGTGGGGATAGCAGGAGCTCGATGTGCTCCTGGGTCATGGAGACGTCTAGGATTTCTTCCGAGGCGTCCGGCGTGGGCGCCAGGATGTTCACTTGGGGCCGGTCCTCGGGTCGGAGGCGGCCTTCTACCTGGAACAGAGGGTGGCGTCAGGAGCTGGGTATGACGCACCATACAGGGAACATAGGATGGCGTCAGGGATGGACCTTCTACCTGGAACAGAGGGTGGCGTCAGGAGCTGGGTATGTTGCACCATACATGGAACAGAGGGTGGCGTAAAGAACGGGGTATGACGCACCATACAGGGAACAGAGGGTGGCGTCAGTAGCTGGGTATGATGCACCATACAGGGAACATAGGGTGGCGTCAGGAGCTGGGTATGACGCGCCATACAGGGAACAGAGGGTGGCGTCAGTAGCTGGGTATGATGCACCATACAGGGAACATAGGGTGGCGTCAGGAGCTGGGTATGACGCGCCATACAGGGAACAGAGGGTGGCGTCAGGAGCTGGGTATGACGCACCATACAGGGAACAGGGTGGCGTCAGGAGCTGGGTATGACGCACCATACAGGGAACAGGGTGGCGTCAGGAGCTGGGTATGATGCACCATACAGGGAACATAGGGTGGCGTCAGGGGCTCGGTATGACGCACCATACAGTTATGACGCACCATACAGGGAGCATAAGGTGGCGTCAGGAGCTGGGTATGATGCACCATACAGGGAGCATAAGGTGGCGTCAGGAGCTAGGTATGACGCACCATACAGGGAGCATAGGGTGGCGTCAGGGGCTGGGTAAGATGCACCATATAGGGAACATGACATGACATCAAGAACAACGATTTATGCATACAACGGTCGACAAACCTAAGTTCAGAAAGTCGCTTTATGTAGCGGGGGCGGGGTCCACTGCTATCGCACCGGGGTCCTACAGAGGGGAAGGCATCAGGGGGGGGGGGGGCCTTCTACCTGGAACAGGGGGTGACGTCGGGGGTGGAAAGAACAGGGGGTGCCGTCCTGCACAAGCCTGCCTCGAGGTCAGGCTCGAGGCTCCAGGGGAGTTTTGTGGAGCGAGGGCTGCTGCCTTTTGACAAGACACGGGTGAACCATGATTGTAAGGGGCGCGGGGCTGATTTTCTTACTGGAATAGGTGACTTGAAACAAATACCAGCCTAATGCAGCCCAACTTAGCACACAGCGTCAGCCGTCAATAGTCGGCCAATGAGAATATGTCGACCCATGACGCGATCCCTCACTCCCTCCTTGTGACTGGTGGCGCCCCTGGCGGTACGTACATCAAACGACGGCTTATACTCGGCGTCAGCAGAGGGCTTGACGATAATCGGTGACCGTTTGGGCGACTTGGTGACTATGGCGGCCGGTGCCGGGTCGCCGGAGTAGTTGCCGAACCCGTAGTTGACCAGGCCCTCGTCGATGTAGTGGCCGTCCCCTTCATCATCTGTTGATGAGGGGGAGGGAGAGGTCAGATGGTGAACTGAGGATTGACTGCTGAGAGCGAGAGAAAGAGAAGAGACAGACAGATCATAAGGCAGGGAGTGGTAAAAAACCTGAAGTTATAGTATCTCAACTTCAAGTCAGGTTTTGGAAAGGAAACGAAAGACAGAGAGTGAAACGGCTTGTGAGGAAGGAGGGGTCATAAAGGGGTGTCACCCATTGGGATGCGTAACTTTTTACCCGCTACGAACGAAGTGTTTACTAATTTTGCCTCGGTGGCGCGCATCACATCAACACATCTGAACGATTACCTATTAATTATACAGGTGTTCTGTGCAGCTGCCCCGTGGCCGGTTCGATTTCAAGGTGACCCGTACCTGCCTGGGGTCGTGGGGGTCACTCGGGGGGGGGGGGGTCTGGTGGCTCAGGGAGGGGAGGGGGTCGCCAACACCTGTGTCGGTCTCAGGAATGCCGTGGCCACTGGCCGGCGTTGTGGCTTGTCCAGCGCTGTACGTATCGACCGCGTCGAGTGCAGCCAGCCGCCGCTCGGTTTTATGGGCCACAGGTCGTTCGGTGGAGCCCGACGGATATGCGTCTTAGCTACCTCAGACTGTATCACAGGGGTCACTGTCGTTTGCACAGTATTGGACTGTGGCAAAGCATGTAGACGGTGGATTAGACTGTGGTGAATGACAATCTTTGAGCGAGTTGGCGGCTGCTTTTGCTAAATCTGCTTCAAATGCATTCCGCTTTGAGTGTGCTTGTTAACGCTCCTAGGCCAGTTCAATCGATCGCATGGCAACTTAGCAAAACCCACGCAAAGTTGCCATGTAATTGTTGATCCGGCACCGCCCAGTTTGCATTATGAACGCGAAGTTAAATACACGAGTTATTTAGGGGTTGAATTTCATTTCATTTCATTTCATTTATTCACCATATCAGCCACGGGACATGCCCATTTACGGCCAAAGTCACAGCACAATAAAAATACATGAACCATACACAGTCTTCATAAAATTTTCCCTTTTGCTAAAGTACAAGATAAAATAATTGGAATAAATTTGAAAATAAAACAAATGCGAGCACTAAACATGCTAAAATCGTTTCAAGCGCTATGAGAACAAGCACTCTTAACCCTCGCCCGCACATGCCATTTTCCCATCCTAGAACGCACATGGGGGGGGGGGGTGGTGGTTGCCACCCCCCGCGCCATTTCGTTCCTGTTGGAGATAGAGCTTAGCGGTAAAGACCAAAAAGATTCTTTGGGAAGAGACGAATCCAATGATACCCAGTTTTACCTTCTCAGGTCAGTTATTGACCTTCCAGGTCAGGTCAAACTAAAAAATGTTGCTGTTTTAGGTCACCGTTGGATATCAAGCGCGCTGCTTGTCATATACCGATGACGATGCCGTTTTCTGGTGCCAAGCCAGCTAGAACCTCTTTGTCACACTACCCGACCAGGTTTTTGCTGCTGAGGTCATCTCAGGTCAAGTTAGGTCAAGGTCAATAATATGTGTTTGTATGTCTGTGTGTGTCTGTGTGTATACTGATGTGTGCCCCGATTGTTTATGTGTCCATATTACATGAAATCATGATCTGAGAAGCTTTTACCAAAAATGTAGTCAAAAAATTTCAAAAAAAGTAAATTCATCTTGCCTAAAACGCAATTATCTTAGATGACCTAGGTTGACCTTGACCCTGACCTTGACCTCTGTACATCGTCGAACAACATGTTTCATGATAGGTGGGAGGTAGGATTGGCATAAAAGGCCGAAATCAAGGTGTTAAAAGCTCACAAGGCCCATAGCCAACGCAAGATGTTGAGAATTGGCCATTTGGGTCATGACATGACCTGAAAAAGAAGGTCATATCTCCGAAACCAAAAACCACAGAAACTTGAAATTTTCAGTGGACATCAAGAAAGGATAGAGGAGCAGCTATACGAAAAATCAGCCTTCTAGCGCTAAAAATGTTGAGTGCAGAGCAGAAAGACTACCTGGGGGGGGGGGGGGTGGTCCCCCCATGTGCGGGCGAGGGTTAACATACCTTAAAATACAAGACCTGACGCGAGATAAAGAATCATGAAATATGTCGACCTCATCACAACGCTGCAAAAACTCATTCATCACCCTGGGAAGCCTACAAAACATGCCCATTTTCACCGTTTCTACTCTTCCGTGGGGCACCGCAAGAAAAGTACGCAGCCGGGTGATGCGGGGCGGAACGGCCAAGCCGAAGTGCGACCGCAAGAAGCTGGAGTCGATATTATTTTTTGAATGAAATGGACGAGCACCCCATGAAAAGATGAAAAGGGAAACGTTATTTTCTCGAAGGAGGCAATGTATTTAAGTTGTACCATGCCGTTCGGCAGATTTAAAGTTGTAAAGCAAGAACAGGAACAAACGCTGAATTGGTCTTTTTACTCTTTTTGCTTCTCTTTTTTTTCATGCGCCTATTCTGTCCGCTAACACACTGTCACACTGACCTGAGCTGGGGTCAGTTTAACGGCCCCTGTCCGCCCTCATCTCTGACCTGAACTGAGGTCAGTTTGATAACCCCTGCCACTGACCTGAGCTAAGGTCCTCTGTCAGTTTGATGACCTTCTGGCGTCGAACGCATACCTCCACGCTGAGCAGAAGCACCACGATACCGCAGCCGGCGAACACGGGGCCAATCAGGATGAACGGGTCGTCCTCTGGGGGTCACAGAATAGTGGTGACGTCATACATGAACCAATCAGGATGAACGGGTCGTCCTTTGGGGGCCGCAGAACAGTGACGTTATACATGAACCAATCAGGATGAACGGGTCGTCCTCTGGGGGTCACAGAACAGCGGGGACGTTGTATATGAACCAATCAGGATGAACAGGTCGTCCTCTGGGGGTCACAGAATAGTGGTGACGTCATACATGAACCAATCAGGATGAACGGGTCGTCCTCTGCGGGTTACAAAATAGTGACATCATACACACGTCACTAGACTGATCAGGATGAACGGGTCGTCCCCTGGGGGTCACAGAGACAGAACAGTGGTGACGTCATATATGAGCCAATTAGGACGAACGGGTCCTCCGCTGAGGTCACAGAACAGCGAGGACGTCATATATGAAACAAACGGGATGAACGGGTCGTCCTCCCTTGGCCACAGAAGTGGTGACGTTACACAGGGACTGGATCAGGATGAACTAGCCTTAGGCGATTGGAGCGCAGTTAGCAGTAGTGACACGTATCATATTACGTATTTAGGGATTTAAAATTGTGAACATCATTTTAATCCGGCGATGATAGGTTACGTCCGCAGGCTGCGTGCTGTAAAACCCGAATCATCATTACCAAAAAAAAAAAAATCAGCGTCATCATCATTACGTATTATTATCATTGCCTACAATTGAGCATCACCTCCCCATCGCTGTCCATTTGTCGCGAAACTCACTGCCGAGGACGAACCATGCCGCGAGGAACATGCCGAGTCCGGCCAGCAGGATCAGCAGCCCGGAGGTGATGACGCAGCCGATGATCTGACAGTCGGCCACCTTCCGGCGGCGCAGCGCCTGCTCCCGCCAGTTTGTCTGCCGGCGCGCCAAAAACCGCGGGACACGCGCGTTAGAGTTACGGAGTGGTATTGGATTTCTACCTACCCCTCCCCGTGATCCACTCTCTCTCACACACACACGACCACAGAAGTACTGCCCATCTTAAAAATACAGGCCTAGAGCGATAAGACATTTATAGGGGGGAGAATACCACAGAAAATATGGTGAGATCTTCGCGGTCCTAACCTACAAATTTGTCATTGTGTGTCATGTAGCTTAGCCAATCGTCAGAGAGTCGTTCGTGTCCCTTCGCCGGTACTGCCCCGAACGGGTGAGGGTTAATTAATGTGTTTTATGGGCACCGTATAAACGTTATCGATCAGCTATAGGCCTGGCTCGAGAGCCCGTTCCCCTAGAGGTTAGGTACCTACAGCCCACCGCTAAAGTAATGTAGGGTTTTACCAATCTCAACGGTTGGCTTTGACTGGCAATTGTTTAATGCGGAGTGATCGAAAAGAAGATGTCAATAGCTAAAGTTGCAGCTGCAAGGGTGAAGATGCATATAAGCTACATTCAAAGTTTCATTGTAGTCTGGCTAATCGTTCCTAAGCTTCAGAAGCAGAACATACCCATGACTGAAACCCCACATTACTTCTGCTGTGGACTGTACAAGTGGTTCCGCGATTTGCGAACCAGCAACAAAGCTGACGTCTGTCGCTAGAATCTCTATGAGCTGAAAAAACATACCATTTTCTATCAAATACACGTATTACATGATCCGAACCGATGGAGTAAATAAACGGGGCAACTCTGTTGATGTTTCGTTGCATTTCCCTACTCTGCGACGCTTGCAGTTTTGTCGCTAGATGTCTCTAGTGTTAGCGCCGGAAGTGGTAGGCTGTACCGCAAGGCAGGAAGCCGGCCCGCGGGGATGGCCGTATGGAGCAAGGTATTGAGAGGATTGGCGAGGCGATTTCTTTACATTCACATGCGAAAGGTTGAGATATCACTATTGCTGTCGGTGTTTGCGAGAGTTTTTTAGATTCTTCGTCAAACAAATTTTCCTATGAAATTTCATGAAAAAGAAATACCACAAAATTTCAGTAATACCTGTGCAGATGCACGGGGTGTGGTAACTGCTAGCCCCAATCATTACGAACAAATGGCGACTGGCTGTCATTTATCAACGACTTCAATATATTATGAATTCCTAGAATTCACCACAAATTCGTGTCTTCTGATCTGTTTTGGTAAGCACATGTTTCGCCGAAAGCTTGACTGGTTAAAAGGTATCTGAACTCTGAAACATTACCTACATTTTCATAAGTGTGATGCCAGACGCACAAGATTTATTTAGTCGTGACGACTTGGAGATGTAGCATTTCGAGCCTAGAAATTAGAAAAGTCAGTAGGTACAGTCTGTCTTAAAAGTACCGCGCAAAGTGACGGTGGATCCATCATGCCTGACCGAGGAAGGGCTAGTCTACTAAATTTGAGTCACCGAAGCAATTCACATTCTCGTCTATTCCCTAGGTCAATTGGTTCGGTAACTTTCAAATTATAGCAGGCCCTACCTCAGTCAGGCTTGATGGATCCACCGTCACTTTGCGCGGTACTTTTAAGAAAGACTGTACACAGTATCACAAGTATATGCGACACCAAGAAGCTCCCTGTTTTACCCCGCAGTCGTACCCTATTCCCGGTCGCGTTGTCTCACCTGCCCCATGGGTCTCTGTTCGAACTGAGGTGCCGTCTCTGTTTTACTGGCCAGGGGGCCGGAGTTGGCGGGCAGAGGCGCCTGCGACGGTCCTCCGTCCTCGCGTTGTCTCACGTAGTGGTTGATGAATGTGTTCAGCATGGTGAAGACCCTGTCGGCGCAGAGGCGGAGTCAGCCACCAGCCACCGCGGGGCGCAGAGGCGTCACCAGGCACACACAATACGGGGGAATAAATGATTACCTTCGCAAAGAACGTGCGTGTTGTGCGTGACTTTTCGCAATTTCCACACCATGTTATCGATCAATGATAACTATGAGAAGTTGCCCGCAATTTCGCACCACCACCACTGCCGGCTCACAACTACCGTCCACCACCGAGGGCGACTCACGCGTCACTTGACGGCCCGTATCGACCGTGACAGTACTTTGTATCGGCCGTCTCCTCGATACGGGGTCAGTCGACCCGGTTACACAGCTACACGGCCGAACAAAGAAATACAATGGATTCGCGGAACGGGTGAACTGCTACTGGCCATTTATCGTCAGCTAGTAGCCGAAGGGCGGAAGGGAAATGGGTGTTTGACGCACAGTGGGCCAGGCGCATCAAAAAAGCGGAATTAAGTCGAAAATCCACTTCGGTGAAATTCCTGTAATTATGGGATAGAGTATTGTAAAAATGTCCAAAGGTTCCGAATATGCAAGTTTCCTTTCCCCAATGTCAAGGCAGATAATGCTATAACGTCGCAAAGTAGGACTTACCGACTGGAGATGGAAATGACTGCTGTGTACCATATTCCGTTCCCCCGATTCAAAAGCTCTCAGCGTAAAATCATTAAAGTTATTCCGTACAAAATAGCTTAAAAAAACAGCCGGTATTTCTGCGCATGTTTCTCGTACTCAAGTTCCCGGGAACTATTTCATGCTTACTAGTAGCGGTGGGGTTTACAGTGCCTGTTCGGAACCGTGGTAGTGCAACGACGCAATGAATTTATATAAGGATATAAAGAAAACGTCACCGAACAACACGAAGATATTTGCTGCCTGACTTTTCTCAAGGTGTATAGCTTGCTGCCCAATGCAAATATTTTGCGCATTTTTGCGCGAAATGGACAAATAAGGGTTTAACCCTCGCCGGCATAGGCCGTTTTGCATCCCTCGACGGCACAGGGGGATGCGACCCTCCTCGCGTTTGGCCCCTAATTGAGCTAGAGCCTCGCGGAAAAAACCATCGTGTAGGTCGTCACGAGACGAAGCCAACGGTACTATTGGTCTCAAGATAAGGGTCCAGGCGACCTGTAGGTTTGATGCGGTGAATACCCCCGCCTTCGCCACACTCGCTCGGTGCTACGGAGCTCCGATCTCGCGACCGGTCACCTGTACTTGTAGACTGTGCCGCATGACATAGCAGTCGAGCGGGCCAGCGGAGCTTAGGCGGAAACTAGCGCCAAGTTTGACAGAGAAGGACGCTCGCCATTCCGGCGGGAGGGCCGCTCACCATTTTAACTCCATGTAGCGTCTCGCTGACAATGAAAGACACTACAGGACGACAATATAGGGTTCGGCAAAAGTTATGTCCACTACCTATGACAACACTTTCCTGTTCCTAATCGTGTCTACACCTGAGGGATGACGATTCAGGCTGCACTCCTGCATTGCACGGTCATTGGCCGCAAAACATGAGGTGACGAACGGACCTCGGGTCACGGATCACCGAGCTACGGCCAGTTTCACAGAGATTGTCCACCTGAACGGCTGCGTCGCTACGTGAATGTCTGAAATTTCTATCAAGGGAGCTGAACCAGACTGTCGGCATGCTTCAGGCCGAAATGACACAGCGTGTCATTGCTGATTGGTTGGGACATCTGCCTGTTGTTTTTGTTTGCAAGTCTTAATTATAGACGAACTGTCTGCACAGTCCGGTGTTGGTGGGATAAGCATACGGCTGCTGGCAGTGTTGCTGATCGTTCCAGTTTGCCGGCAAGTGCCTACCATTTCAAATGTTACAGAAATCGCATTGAAAAAGGTGACCGGGAAGAGGGGCAGTAGTTGGCGACAAAATTGGCCAAGCGGCTCGCGCTGAAGCGCTATCACATCTCCAAACAGGACCGTGAGACGCTATTGGAAGAGCTCTCCAAGGCTCATTACCTACCTTTGGCCCAATACTAAGCCAACGCATGGTCAATGACATGTTGACATGCATTTTCAATCAGGACGGCGCGCCAGCTCATCGCTCTGCCAAGGCCTAGCGGCTAGCAGTGGTGCGAATTGAACGTGCCAGACTTCTGAAGGAAAGAGATGCTAGCCCGCTGCCCTCCGGACCTCATCCTGATCGACGAACTTCGGGCTGTCGTCCAGCAGGACCTGGACAAACAGAAGCCGGCGGCCAACCTCGGCGCTAGAGCACTTCATGGGCCGGATAAATCCGTTATCCACGGATAAATCCGCGGACCGGATAGGATTGGATTCTAAATTTGTTAAAAAAGAACGGATATGGGCGGGCCGGATTTGGGAATTGAAGGTTGAACCCGGATCAAAACGGATCAAAATTTTAACATTCAACATTGAAGTTAAAAATTAACCTAATGTGTTAAGCGGCAGCAGAGGTTTGATTAAAGTAATAGGCATCATTTTATGACACTCACTTGTCATAAGACTTGTATGGCTGTCTGGTCCCTTAGATTGAATTTGTTAGTCCAGTTTTGGGTGAAACCAGTTATTGGTGAAACGGATTATTACGGATATTTTTTGGAAGTTTGGCTGCAATACGGGCCATGGGTGGGCCGGATTCTGATATCCAAAGAAAGGCGGATAATGGGCGGATCTGGATATGACTTGCCGGATATGGGCCGGGCCGGATCCTAAAAAGCCTATCCGTGAAGTGCTCTACTCGGCGCCTTGTCGTTACAGCTCAAACGGGCATGGTAAAAAATCCAGCCGTACTTACTGCACAACCTAGTTGCCACATGCAAATTTGCGTTCGTATGTAAGTCCTTATTCGTGGGGAATACATTGAACGCTAAAGAGAATCGCTGTCCCCTATGTGGTAACTTAGAACATTTTTTTAAAGGATAACACTTATGCCGGACCATGTAGCTCACGCATGATTCATTGCAGTTTCACCTTAGACTGCAAGACGTGGCAATTTGTTTAGGACACATGCATAGTAATTAATGTTGTCATGATCGGCATACCGTCGAGTACGTCACTATTTATATCATCTTAACGATTGCATGTTTCAACCTTCATAACTTTTAATTTCCTACTGTTTCATATAATTTCATTTATGTCGCTGAACAATTGTTGAACAGTTCATTTCAATAACTGCATTGTTAAACCTCCGGTAGGGTTAACCATTAAACAATATGTTAGGTGTTACTCTAGCCCCGTTCGCTATGTGTTCGCTTTATAATTCTATCAAACGTGATATCATTCCAAGAAAGCACTAATAGTGTAGAGTATAGAAGCGATTCCCACTGATGGGACTCGAAGCGATGCAGCTAGTTAATGCATAACGCTGATTGGCGAATTTCAGCTTGTAGACAAGACAAGGAAACGTTCTCAAAAATCAAATCCACACGTAACAAACATAATTCAAGAGTGCACGTATCTTGTTGTCGTTGCATCCGTTATTCCTCGTCGGACCTATCGGCTTTCTGAATACCGAGAGGGGTCTAGAGTGTGTGTGTGGTGGGGGGGGGGGCCGCCGCTGTTTCGCCCATTATTAAGCCAAAAGCCTTGCAAACAAAAACAACACCCAGCGATTCACAATCAAGTTAAAAGTGTCAGATCAACATGTGACCTCTGAGGTCAGGTCACGTGCACAAGTGCAGGGTGTTCATTAGCGAATGACGTAAAGTAAGCCCCCGCTGGAGCCCCAAATGATCGCCGGCCATCGTGCAGACGAAACCTTCGACGACTCACGGCAGCGTTCAGTTCATCAAGGGTGGTTTATTATATAGTCTTACGCCTCTGGCGGGGCTGACTTTATGTCATCTTTTATTTATGACCCTGTTATTTAGAGGATAGCGCGTGGATGTTTAAATGCGGTTATCCCGCACCGTAGACAGTTTTTACAATTGCTTCACGTGCAAAGAGATAAAATTCTTAGGTGTCGTGTAACTGATTTTTTAAGCGTCTAGACGATTAACAAACTGTTAAACGTCTAGTAGACATTTCGTCTAGTCTGAAATATGTCGTATTTTTATATAAAATGTATTATTCTAAGCCACACTTCGGAGTCGATCGATCGTTGTGTATTCGTAAAAAAGGTTTTTTTTAACGAATACACTACGATCGACCGACTCCGAAGTGTGGCTTAGAATAATTATTAATGCGAATCTAGTGCATTTTCTTTAAATAGAATGTATTCTTTAGCCCGAAAGATATCGGCGGTACGGGATAACATTAATAAACCGCTCGTAGGTAGAAAAATATTTTAAACGTCTCGCCTAACCGCTCGACAATATTTGTTCTACCTACTCGCGGTTTAATAGATAACCACCTTGTATTTCAGTTGCAACGGTAATTATATATATTAAACCGCGAGTAGGTAGAACAAATTTTTTAAGCGTCGAGCCGATAGGCGAGACGTTTAAAATATTTTTCTACCTACGAGTGGTTTAATAATTTTATCCCGTACCGCCGGAATCTTTCGGTCACTTAAGTTAAAAATACATTTAATGTAAAAATACGGCATATTTCAGGCTAGACGAGATGTCTACTAGACGTTTAACAGTTTGTTAAGCGTCTAGACATTTAATAAATCAGATAAACAACATCTGACAATTTTCTCTCTTTGCACGTGAAGCAATTGTAAACGCTGTTCACGGTGCGGGATAATGACAAAAAACTCAAATATCTATGTAACGTCGTTTATGACGTTGCATATGGTTCACAACGCAAAAGTTGAGCATCGATCTTGCAAGGAGTGAAGCGACACGAGCACGACTTCATGTGCAAACGATAGTCTTAAATCATTTATTTTGTCATCAACATAAATTTTAATATTTCCCTTGTTGAATTATGATGGTGAGGGAGGTCACGTCATTGACCTAGCTTTACGTAAACTTCTAGAAATTACGAGACATAAAAGTAAAAAGTTGCAAGGTCTCGGAAGAATATGAAGTCCTGTGAGTTTTATTTATCTGCAGAAGTTGACCTAGCAATGGCGGAGTTGCCAAGCCGCAATATTTTGGGACCGAGTGAAGTCTTTTATGACGTCATAGGTCAGTGACTCGACAAGAATTGAAAATGTAATTGGTCGTTGGTGTCACCAGAGAATTGGCTTGAATCAAGTCAGGTGTGCTATTTTTCAGCTTTCCGGTTTCCTTGTTGAGAGCAATCGCAAGAAGTCTGGGGTAGGTAACACCCGTCACCCTCATCTATGGAAAGTTATGCT